AGAGACACATCACATTTTTCACTTGTAACCCAGCATCTGGTTAATAAAGAGGTGACTTTACGTGTTTTAAGAGTTTTAGCAACTTGAGGTCTATGAGCTGAGAACAGAATGATTAGAAAATTAGGTTTTCCTTCTGCAATGGAATGCTTTGGGTTTACTATTGTCTTAGGCACGTTTTGTTATGTTTGTGTGTTATCTCTCTCAGCACCCAGAATGCTGAGTACCGTTAATCTAGAAACAAATAAATAATGCTACCATGACGGGGTGCTTTGATTAATTAGGGCACAGCACTACTAAGACATAAGCAGCAAAAGAGAAATGTGTGTTAGCATGTTTGGAAAACAATTACTAAACAGTCTGAAGTAATACCGGTAATTGAATTCACTCTCCTCCTCCTACCAAATTAATTTTTCTCATGTGGAAAAAAATAGTGAGAAAGCAAAGAAGTAAAACTCTTGATTGTGTACTAGATATTTAGTAGGGCTCAAATCCTGAACACCCTTCTGCAGTTTTTGCTCAGTCGCTGCTAGGACATACATTGTTGACTTGAACTGGAGTTTGCCCCAGAACGAAACCCGAGATCGTTAATTTGAAGCAGCATATTCCATTCACACCGATTTCAGCAGGGGGAGCTGCTTGAAACTTCTTGGGATTGGAGGGTCTTGAGCAGTGATTCCCAACCTATGTATCATTGCGGGATGCATATTCCGCTCTCTGTGTTAGGTGGGCCACATCCACATGATATCTATAAAGTACCTATATGGCCTAGAGATGTCCACATATAAATGTGTGTGACGACTGAGCTGTAAGTAGCCCACAGCCGGGGGGTTCAGTATTGGCCTTACATCTTGGGACTGGGATAGTCTGGGATATTCCCTCATTCTGACTTGAGGAACCCACTGGAGAACCTGTAGGGATCTTCCTTTAGGACCTTTGTCACTGACTCACCCGGTGGTATTGGGAAATCGTATTCGCCCTCTGCCTCGGGTCCCCCATTCAGTACAATGAGAATAACAACATGTGTGCCCTCGTTAGTGTTGGTGCTGGCAGTAGCGAGTGGCATGCACCAGCCTGCCCCGCTCCTCTGTGCCCTGCTGTCTCCTGGTGTCACTCGTTGGCGGGGATAGGAGCTAGAAAGAGGCAGGGGTGGAACAGGGGCAGGAAGAAGTGGGGCTTGGGGAAAGGGGTGGAGTGAGGGTGGGGCAGAGCAGACCTAACCAGATTGCTTATTGCTGCCAGCGTCAGGTCTCTCCCACTAGACCCCCTACCCCAGGCTGCCCTACGTCCCCCTGAAGAGCGGGGCTCTCCCAAAGCACTGGGCCTGGAGCAGGTCCATCTGAAAATATAAGTGCAAACATTGGTGGGGTCCACGCTCCTGAACATTAGGGCTGTGTCTAGACTGGCAAGTTTTTCCGCAAAAGCAGATGATTTTGCGGAAAAACTTGCCAGCTGTCTACACTGGCCGCTTGAATTTCCGCAAAAGCACTGACGAGCTCATGTAAGATTGTCAGTGCTTTTGCGGAAATACTATGCTGCTCCCGTTCGGGCAAAAGTCTTTTTCCTAAAACTTTTGCGCAAAAGGGCCAGTGTAGATAGCAGAGATTTGTTTTCCGCAAAAAAGCCCCGATCGCGAAAATGGCCATCGGGGCTTTTTTGCGGAATAGGGCGTCTAGATTGGCACGGACGCTTTTCCGCAAAAAGTGCTTTTGCGGAAAAGAGTCCTGCCAATCTAGATGCGCTTTTCTGAAAATGCTTTTAACGGAAAACTTTTCTGTTAAAAGCATTTCTGGAAAATCATGCCAGTCTAGACGTAGCCTAGTGGCGCACAGACACCGTGGGCCCCTATCACTTGCTGCCTGTGCAGAGAGGGAGACATTCTCCCTTCTCCCCAGTTTGTGTGTGAACTTCCTTGGTTTTTTGTTTGCGGACTGCCCCAGAAGGGGAGAGGCCTAGCAGTGACCGGGCCAGCGGGCCACGTCACAGGAAAAGGAAGGCCACCACAGAGATGGAATGGCCAATGGCAGCAGAGAGAACGCTGCCATGTCAAGTCATGCCGTGACCTTCATAGAGATCTTTGTGTGCCCTGACAGCATCCTCCTGAGGGAGTGAGAACACAGCGCGGTGGTGTGTCCTACTGTTCACACCCCCTCAGCCTAGGCCTGCCCTTGGGTTGCAAACCCATTGAACCAAGAGATGCCTTTTATAGAGGAGGTGCGCACAGCGGTTGGCCTAATGAGCCCCTGATGTCTTCTGGTAGGCTTTAGGTGCTACCACAGGCTACATCAACAAGCAATTCTAACCAAAGCCCTACCCCCCTCGCCCTATCTAAGATCACAACATTGAAAAAGCTGGTAAAAACGGCAGACAGGTCGACCCGCGACGTTCCACATGAGAGAAGCAAGGCAAATCCGCAAGTATGACCCTTTGTGTGTACAAAAACACAAGCATTTCCCTCATTTTTAAGGGAAAATGGGGCCCTTTAATGCTCTTACGTTAGAAGGCGATGCTTGGCAAATTCCTACCCCTTCCCCTCCTGCCCCGGCAGCTGCATCCAAGAGCTATGAGAATTTCCCTATAAGGGACTTTCTCATCTCTTTTCCATTCTAATTGCAGCTCTACCAGGAATAATAAAAGCATTCAGCTCGTATGCTGACACACATTTGACTTCACCGTAGTAACGATCTATTAGGCAGCATTTTACACCTTTTGCAAGACCCACAGAGTGATTTAAAAAAAAAAAAACTTGAGGAGAAGCCTCTTACAAAAGGACCATTCACGCTATTTTGGATATTTTTTCTGTTTTCAGCTTGGATATTTTAGCAGAAAGGACATTTGCCCGCAACAGTATTTCAAGAGAGCAACTCGTGTATTTGAAGAACTTTCTCAAGGAGGAATTATGTCTTCAGAATAGACAAGGGAAATTCTTTTCTTTTGTTTGATTTTGAGTAGGAAA